ACTATAATTATATTTTGTTTTTGTGTTATTAAAAGCAATGACGATAATGACTAGGCAGCTTCACTTATTATTCTCACAGCTTCCGATCATTAGAGCTATTTTAGTTCCCTAAAGTCGCTCCCAAGTTTTGTTATAAATTATACATTTAATTCATTTAAATCTAAATTAATTCTACAAAATTGTTGGTTAAAAGTATGAAAAATTCAGATTTTCAAAGATTTTAATTTCAAACCTTTCTAAATTCTAATTTTTCAAAATATTCTTTGTGAATTTTCAAATCATTTTGTTTAAAAATTTAAATTTAAAAAAAATTTAATGTAACCATTTCAAAAAAATTAATTCTACAAAATTGTTCCTTAAAAATATGAAAAATTCAAATTTCGAATGATATTAATGTAGAACTTTTTCAAAAATTGTTCCTTAAAAATATGAAAAATTCAAATTTCGAATGATATTAATGTTGGAACTTTTTCAAAATGTCCCAGTAAAAATTTTATTTTTTTGAAAAAAATTGAATTATTTAGAAAAAATTTGTAAATAATTGAATTTCTGTGAAATTTTTATTATTTTATGAAAATAATTAAATGTTTTTGTAGAATTCTATTGTTTGAAAATAATTGAATTCTTTTGGAAAATTTGATTACTGAAAATATTTGAATTTTGAGGGAAATTTTTTAAGATAATTAAATATTTGCGTAGAATTTTATTGAAATTTTTAAAAATAATATTGAATTCTTTTGGAAAATTTGATTGAAATAGTAAATATTGAAAATTATTGAATTGTGGAAAATTTTTGAAAATAATTGAAATTTTGCCAAGAATTTTATTAAAATTTTTGAAAATAATTTAATTTCAGAGAAGAATTTTATTATTTCGAAAAATAATTGAAATTTTGACTTGACGGATCTTTTTTTTTTTTAAAAATGACTTTTACTAACTTAAAGCAAATTTACAGACCTATAGTTCGAGCCCTGAGATTTTTATTTATTTTTTTTTTGAAGAGGATTTCTATAATAAAGTTAAATGAAAATATTGTGAAGTTAGAAAGTATCACATATATGTATATAAACTTTATTGCACGTGTGTGTCACTTGTTAGTTGCCAAGAATGCAGGCTAAAATACCATTATCGTAACTGTGTACCAATTACCACTTATATCGCTTTAATATCGCACTATGTAATTTTCTTAGAATATCTAAGCATATCATAAGCATGTGTATGTAATTTCTTATAACATTGCAACAAGCACAGGAAGACTTATGACAATTATTATAGAACACCTGTTACCTATTTCAAAAAAAAAATTAAAATTCATTGCTTCACAAAAAAATCTTTCTATTAGCCCTAGGTGTTTATTTAAACAATTTTCCATGTCAATAATTTATTTCAAATATACTTGCGACTCTAATCTCGATATATTTTAATTTATTGAACTTACGCACGAGTATTTCTCTGTAATAACTTATTTTTTCTATACTTGAATTTTTTTTAACAAAAATAGATTAATGGAACTAAATTAAATTTTTTTTTATCATTTTCTTTTGATTTATTAAATTTAGGTCTCAATTTTGAATTTTTTGAATATATTAAATTTAGGTCTAAATTTTGAATTTTTGAATATATCGGATTTAGGTCTAAATTTTGAATCTATTGAATGTAGGTCTAAATTTTGAATTTATTGAATTTAGGTCTAAATTTTCAATTTTTTGGATATATTAAATTTAGGTCTAAATTTTGAATTTTTGAATATATCGGATTTAGGTCTAAATTTTGAATCTATTGAATGTAGGTCTAAATTTTGAATTTATTGAATTTAGGTCTAAGTTTTCAATTTTTTGAATATATTAAATTTAGGTCTGAATTTTGAATTTTTGAATATATCGGATTTAGGTCTAAATTTTGAATCTATTGAATGTAGGTCTAAATTTTGAATTTATTGAATTTAGGTCTAAATTTTGAATTTTTTGAATATATTAAATTTAGGTCTAAATTTTGAATTTTTGAATATATCGAATTTAGGTCTAAATTTTGAATTTTTGAATATATTCAATTTAGGTATAAATTGTACCTATATGTGACCTACTTTAAAATTACCTTATTTTTTCAAAATGACTTCAAAAAAATCTGTAAATTTTTATAGAAAAAATTAAAACCATAAAAATCTTTCTTACACTTGTAATGTTAAAACATTTTTTGCAATTATTTTCATATTTAAACGAGATAATGTTCTAAAGAGATTATATAAGTTTTATGTATGGTATATATATCCGCGACCTACGAGAACGCATATACGAACATTATAAATGTCTATACGTGACGCCATTCGTATACTAAAAGACTGCATTCATTTGTTCAAATGGACCTCTAAATATAACGTCGACAAGTTATAAAGAGGATCTACATTGACCGTGAAATATAACGATGACATGTTTGAGTAAAAAAAAAAAAGAAGAAAGAGAGAAAATCTTCAAATATTTGGTTCTCTCGCATAAAAAGTATATGACATGTTAACAATGATTTATTATTATTGTTATTTATTACATTGTTGGTAAAAATTGAAGAGTATTTTTTTTACCCTAAGTTACGCACATACATATTACGTTCAAAAATTATTATATGACATTATAATCTTAAAAATAATGTTTTATCTCTTGTGATGATGATAAAAATCACTGTGTAATTTGCAAACAAAAACTTGTAATTTTATATCAAGTAAATTCTTTAGAAATTTTTAAACTTACGGAATAGCAATATTTATGTTAACGAAATTTTTTTTTGTTTTAATGAAAACTAAATTATAAATTATAAATCAACTAGCAAATCAACTCCAGTATTTTCAAAAAAAAAATTCAATTAAATTCTATTTATAATAATTCAACTATTTAAAAAAAGAATTTTAATAAAAATCTTGTCAACAATTAAATTATTTTCAATACATTTTTAATTATATTTTCACGAAAGAATTCAATTATTTGAAAAAAATGTTGATAAAATTCTTGAAATTGAAATTATTTTCAAATTTTTTGATCTTTTGGCTTTGAATTTTGACGCAAAAATTGCAATAAGCTTTTGTATTTAAAATGAATGCAATTTTACGATTTAGCGAGACTGTATGGCACCAAATTTAAATTATACACATATGTTTTCGCTTCTAGAATTACGAAGCAATTTTTCAAAGCATAACTATATATATTATACACGATAAAGAAATTATTTTTAGTTATTTTTTTTCTTTCTTTAATTCATCTATGTATATTTCAAGTTCATTAAAGTGATTAATCATTTCCTGTGGTTCGGCTATTGGAAGTTATTTTTATTTTTTAATTTATCTATTTCTATTCTGTAGCAAATTTGTCAAAGTATTCTATTAAAGATAAATTTATCAAATTTAGATGTTTGGAATAATATTTTCGATTCGATATTTTTTTTGGTTAATTAGAACTTCAAGAAATTAAGAGAAAATGATTCAGAATGTTGTACAATAGTTTTTGTTCAATAAAATTTAAATTTTGTTGAAACAAAATAGTGAGGGTACTTTAAAAAAGTCGAAAATGTTGAAAAAGGGGGTCAAATATTGTAATCTATTCGGAAAATTTTATAAAAAAAAGCGGAAGTAAAGGGTTCAAAAAGAGAGATAAACATTTTTAATGCTGTTAAGTAGGATAAGTAGGTTTATAGATTTAGAAAAATAAAGTTTGTCCCTCTAGTAATCGAATTGATAGATCAAGATGAACCCTTCCTGAGTTGTCTTTAGAATTGTTCGAGACGATTGTTAAGCATACAATTGATTCGTGTTGACCCAATACTGCAAATTGAAATTGATCAAACATATGTCCTCGAGGTCAATAAAACACAGGAGACAGTTCAAGTGTTACTGAGTTAAAAGTTGACAATTGTCTCGACATTCCGACCCATACGATTTAAACATTTGAACTTAATTCTTACCGCAAAGAAATGATGCTTATTTATTCGTTTATTCTTTCGAATTATATTATTTTTTAATTCTGCCTCTATGCTCTTGGGTCACTTTATCTTTTAATACTGTTAAACTTTTTGAATCACTTTATGTTTTAATATTTTTGTCATTGGGCGCATGGTTCGACAGATTTTGACCATGCGGATAATTTGTAAAATATATAAATTTTTAGGTTTTCAAAATCTTTTTGTCGTTAGCCATATGATTCGCTAGGTTTTAACCATATGATTAAAATATATAAATTGTCACACAATAAACAAAAAAAATTGTTTTTTACATGTACTTCACTTATCCTCGCAGCCACAGATTTGTAGCTTTCTATCATATTCAATTATCTACTGTTGAAGGAAACTTGTCTTCTTTTAGCCGGTAAATTTCACTTGGCATCATTTCAAAATCCACGTGTAGTTCTCAACTACAAAGTAACATTCCATCTTTCTTGATTATATTCCACAGGTATATAAAAAGTAGTTTCTGCTTGGCTTGTTTCTGACAAGTTGTTGTGGTCGACCGAGAGAAGTTTCCTTGTTGCGCGAGAGATTGCCGCATTCGCATTATATCTTTAAAATTCAACGAGACGAGATCTCATCCTTATCCCCCTCGACCCGCATTTCGTTTTATTGAATCAATTTTACGAAACTACACTAGCTAATCGTTGCTGGTCCTACAATACATGAGTAGATAATTCACAAATCATTTATTTAAGACCCACTCTGACTCATGAATATATACTCTACACCGAAATTGGAGCAAATTTTTTTTAATTAAGTCTAATTGAATTCTGTTTCGTTGCACACGATTTCAAGAGAAGATGAAATTCACCATTTAGAAACAAAAGTTTTATATTAATTTTCTAAATTGAAATTATGTCTTTTTTTCAAAGAAAAATGAAAGTATACTTGACAATGGATTTTAATTTTTAAATCACTGGCCGAATTGTATGAGAAGGAAGTTAAGCAGAATATTTAAGGAGAGTACTTTTTTTTTATTTAATTTTATTAAAATTTAATTTTTTAAATTCTAGATCAATAACGACCCGAACATCTTGCCAAATGTGAGACTGGTGATGCGATGGAGCGACACGCGAGGAGAGACTATCGAGGCAACTAAGGCGATGATCGACATGATCTGCGACGGAGTGGCCGCTTTTTTTGGTCCAGAAGGTTCCTGTTTCGTCGAGGCCACCGTCTCTCAATCCCGCAATATACCCATGATTAGCTATGTGAGTACTTTTTTCATTTTTCTCCAATTTTACACTATTTTTGTATTATTTAACCATTTTTAGTATACTGTTATTTTAAAAATAATCGTCGACCCATAAAAAGACAATTTTTTTTTATTTAACAACAATTTGAGGTTATGTTCAAACTTACAATCCCAAATTTTAAGATCCGGCCACGAATGACCATCATTTAATTCAGACAAATTTTAAATGAATTAGGAATTAGTGTTCTTATTTCTTTGACTAAAGAAAGAACAAAACTTTTTATTTCTTTGATTGAAGAAAGAACAAAACTATTTATTTCTTTGATTGAAGAAAGAACAAAACTTCTTATTTCTTCTTTGACTGAAGAAAGAACAAAACTTCTTGTTTCTTTGACTGAAGAAAGAACAGAAGTTCTTTCTTCCTTGACTGAAGAAAAAAGAAAAGTACTTTCTTCTTTGATTGCACCAAGAACAAAAGATCTTTTTAATTTTACTGAAGAAAGAACAAAACTTTTTATTTCTTTGATTGAAGAAAGAACAAGATTTCTTATTTCTTCTATGACTAAAGAAAGAAAAAAAGTACTTTCTTCTCTGATTGCACCAAGAACAAAAGTTCTGATTAATTGTACTGAAGAAAGAACAAAACTTTTTATTTCTTTGATTGAAGAAAGAACAAAACTTCTTATTTCTTCTTTGACTGAAGAAAAAACAAAACTTCTTGTTGCTTTGATTGAAGAAAGAACAAAACTTCTTATTTCTTCTTTGACTGAAGAAAGAACAAAACTTCTTATTTCTTCTTTAACTGAAGCAAGAATAAAAGTTCTTTCTTCCTTTACTGAAGAAAGAAGAAAAGTATTTTCTTCTTTGATTGCACCAAGAACAAAAGATCTTTTTAATTTTACTGAAGAAAGAACAAAACTTTTTATTTCTTTGGTTGAAGAAAGAACAAGATTTCTTATTTCTTCTATGACTGAAGAAAGAAAAAAAATACTTTCTTCTCTGATTGCACCAAGAACAAAAGTTCTGATTAATTGTACTGAAGAAAGAACAAAACTTTTTATTTCTTTGATTGAAGAAAGAACAAAACTTCTTATTTCTTCTTTGACTGAAGAAAGAACAAAACTTTTTATTTCTTTGATTGAAGAAAGAACAAAACTTCTTATTTCTTCTTTGACTGAAGAAAGAACAAAACTTCTTGTTGCTTTGACTGAAGAAAGAACAAAAGTTCTTTCTTCCTTGACCGAAGAAAGAAGAAAACTTCTTATTTCTTCTTTGACTGAAGAAAGAATAAAAGTTCTAATTAATTTTAATAAAGAAAGAACAAAACTTCTTGTTTGTTTGACTGAAGAAAGCACAAAAGTTCTTTCTTCCTTTACCGAAGAAAGAAGAAAAGTGTTTATTTCTTTTACTGAAGAAAGAACAAAACTTCTTATTTCTTCTTTGAATGAAGAAAGAACAAAACTTAATAAAGTTAATAATTTTGAGTTTAACCTTAGTCTTAATTTTATCTCTTGACCTGAAGTTTATTTCCAAAGAAATTTAAATTATTATAAAACATGAAGACACCGAAGACTCGATATCTTCATGTTTTATAATAATATTTTTATAATTTTTTCAATTTCAAAAGGTTTGAATTCTAAATTTTTGAAAATTTTAATTCCTACCAAAAAATAACAATGATTAAATATTTATTTAAAAATGAAGTTATTGATGTTTTTGAATAATTTTACTTTTGAAGAAATTTGTAAATGAATGTAATAAAAATTTTTTTTGAGTAAATCTTTGAATTTTTAGAGTAAATCAGAATATTCTTTAGGGTCAAAGAAAAAGGCAAAATTTTGTCTGGAGCTTAGGGAAAAAGAAAATTAGTTTTATGTGGCAACCCTGCCCTTGAACCGAATTAGGTCGCTAATTAGGAATCTAAAGTCAGATTTAAAAAATTCAAAATGGCGGATCCAATATGGCGGACATTTTTTAATTTCTCCAATTCAATTGAAACTTGTTACTCGGGGGTTTTCGGGGTCACTGATTACGAATCTGAAGTCAAATTTTCGAAATTCAAAATGGCAGATCCAACATGGCGGACAAAATTTTAAATTTATCAGATTCGTAAGCAATGACTCTGTTAATTAGTTTAAATTTACAAGAGTACAGGATTTAATATTTAATATTAAAAAAAAATTCGAAGAATAAAATACTGTGGGGATGAAACATCACTAGAAAAATATAATAGTATTTGTAAATATGTAGAATTATTTGAGAAGCAGTGATATTTGCAAGGTGTATAAGGTTTCTTTTATACACAATGTCGTTTGAATAGAGGAGTGAGCCCCATTTTGCTATACTGCTACTACTGCGGGGGAAAAACTGTTGTACAAACTAGAGAGAGAGCCAACAGGTGGTCGTATAGAATGCAAAGAGCCAACACGGTATTTGGCGAGTGAGCCAGCTTGACAGGTTGAAACTTATGCACTTGTTAACTGCACTTGACCTATGAGTTTAATGGAGATAAACGGTCCAATATATGTACATATCGATTATTTATATTTAAATTATTTTAACATTCTTTATGATTTAATTGTTTATATTATATTAAATACGATTCATTAGAATTTCACTTTTTCATTTTATAAAAATTTAACGCTTGACTTAAATTTTATGTTAGTTCGCTTTTTGACCTGAACTTTCATTTTATGTTTACCTCTTGACCGAAATTTTAAGACTATTCGAATTTTCAACTATTATTTCCAATCCTACTCAGTCTTCTTTATTTTTAAACTAAAATTTTAAGTCTAAAACTTTTGCCTACGAACAGGAAATTTTAATCTATTTTTTAATTGAAAATTATATCTTTAAAGCCTATTTTCACTATTTAAATTTTTTTTTGTAAATTTTGTATTTGGGAAACAAAATGTGACTCATTTTTTTTTTTAAGAATAGAAAAAAAGTTGGCAACCTCGTTAATTCCTTATCGGTACGTAAAGTTTAATCGCTATTTCAAGTTCTGGTCACATTAATTGTCAAGAGTTTAGTACTGGTCAATGTCAAGAACAAAAAAAGAATAAAGCTGACGTAATGCATTTCCTTTGTTTCAATATACATATATATATATAGATAAATATGGAGTTTATAATAGTTTTTTTATTGTTGTTTTAGAAATAGAATTTTAACACGTTAACAACTTTAACATGTGTGTGAATATATTTAAAAAAAAACTGAGAGTAAAATTAAATTATAACAATTATTATTTTGGTTATTGAAAATGAAGAAAGAAAAAGATTGAAATTTAAATTTCAAAAAATAAAAAGAAAACAAACTGAAAATTAAAAATAAATAATAAAAATTAATTTTATTTCTGAAAATTAGACACCTATCGATTTTAATATATTTATTTATTCATTTAGCCGAAATAGAAAAAAAGGCCGAATATGTCAATATTAATGAGTGATTCAATATTGTCTGGCATTTTGTTTTGAATTTTAGTTCAAGTTTAAAAAAAAGTGAGACTAATTGGAATCACCTTGATTTTATTAAGGTTAGACGTAGATTGATACTACTAAATATAAAATATTTACTACTCTCTTTTGAATTTGTAAAAATGTTTACTAATTTGAATTGATGACTGACTTTTTGCTTTTGAATTAGTAAATTTTACTATTAAATTGGTAGAAACGACTATTTATTAGTAAAATCTGCTAATTTAATAACAAAAAGTCAGTTACTAATTTAAATAAGAAAACATTTTTACTAATTCAAATTTAGAGAGTTTAATATTCAATTATCTAAAATTTTAACTGAAATTCATATTTAAATCAATTTTTATTAAAAAATACTGCGAGAATTCAATTATTTAAATACAATACTAAATTATTTATTGAATAATAGAACTTTTGTTAAAGTTAAATTCTCATAAAGAACTTTATCAACAAAATTTTAAATAATTGAAAAATAATTGAATAATTAATTTCATTCGACGAATTTTAATAAAATTTTTAAGAATAATTACATTGTTTGTATTATAAAATTGGATTAAAAGTAATTTAAATTTTGCGGAGAATTTTATTAAAATTTATGAAAATAATTGAATTTCAGAGAAAAATTTTTGAACATAATTGAATTTCTGAGAAGAATTGTATTAAAATTTTTCAAAAAAAATTAATTCTACAAAATTGTTGGTTAAAAGTATGAAAAATTCAGATTTTCGAAGATTTTAATTTAGAACATTTTCAAAATTCAATTATTTCAAAAAAATTTATTCCAGAATTTTCCTATTATACAAATTATTATGTAAAATTTTGACTAAAATTCATTTTTAAATCAATTTTTATTGGAAAATTCAACGAGAATTCAATTATTTAAATACAAAAATAAATAATTTATTAAATAATTGAATCTTTCTTTAAAATGAAATCTCAAAGAATTTTACCAACAAAGTTTAAAATAATTGAAAAATAATGGAATAATTGATTTTATTCGATGAATTTTAATAAAAAATTTTTGAATAATTACATTTTTCGAGGAATTTAATTACAATTGTCGTAAAAATAATTGAAATTTTTACAGAGAATTTTATTAAAATTTATGAGAATAATTGAATTTTGGAGAAAAATTTTTGAATATAATTGAATTTCTGAGAAGAATTGTATTAAAATTTTTCAAAAAAATTAATTCTACAGAATTTTTAATTAAAAAGTATAAAGAATTCAGATTTTCAAATATTTTAATTTGAAACCTGAACCTTCTCAAAAGTCAATTAATTCTAAAAAATTTATTCCAGAATGCTTTTATTATTCAATTATTGTCTAAAATTTTGTCTAAAATTCATTTTTAAATTAATTTTTATTCGAAAATTCAAAGAGAATTCAATTATTTAAATACAAAAATAAATAATTTATTGGAGAATTGAATGTTTTTTAAAATTTAACTATAATAAAGAATTTTATCAACAAAGGAGGAGGGTCGATTAGGCCTGTTTTCGACCCCCTTGAAATTTTCATTTAAATGTCTTTTCCTGAC